GCAGAAAGTTACAGAAGAAATGACATCAGACATAACATGACAGTTAGTGCCTAATGCACTAACTTACAAATGAGAAAACCGAGACCCCGAGGTGGCTGTAGGCTGGAGACAACACAGCGAGCTCATGGGGAAGGAACTTAGGAGCAGGCCCTGGGTTTTCTAACTTCGGGCCGCTGACTTCTTGCAGACTGCACTGTGGCTCAGTTTTCATTTGCTCTTATTTCAATATGTCATCAGATTTTAATCAATAAAAGTTTAATATTATGGCAGTCCTCTGTTTTTAGTTCTTGATTAATTTAATTTTCAAACAGATGATACATTTATATTGTTCAAATACCCAAACACATAAAAGTGCTCATAAAGGATCTGTGGTCAGAGTCAGATTAGGTGTTATCCTCGGCCTGTCTCTCATGATATTTTTTTTCCAGGAAATTTCCCGAGGGAGACAACCAGTTTGGAGCAAACCGGTTTCTCTAGCTCATTTTCTTTATGCCCTCCCTGTTTTAAAATTTTAAGTTAGACGTAGACACAGACAACAGTGTGGTAGTGACCAGAGGGGCAGTGGGAGGTGGGGAAGGAGGGAGAAGAGGGCAAAGGGTGATGAGTGGGGATGGAAGGAGAGTCACCTGTAACTTATCTCTTCTCATGAATGTGTGTTCATTCATATGCTACACACTATCCTGCTGTCTTTGTTCAGCATTACATCATGAGGTGCGTATTTCAATACAGTCTTTCAAAAGCAGATGGGATAACTTGGTTTAAAAGGCCAGCATAACCCTGATACTAAAGCCTAATTATAACATTACATAAAAAGAAAGTAGAAAAATGTTTTAAAAATTAGCAAGTTGCATCTAACAATATATGGAAAGGATAATACATCATAACCAAGTGGAGCTTGTCTCAGGAATGCAGTATTATTAACACTTGAAAATCAATCAGTATTAATACACTACATTGACAAAATAAATGAGAAAAGCCATATGATGTCTCAGTAAATGTGCAAAAAGTATTTGAGCAAATCCAGTATTCATTCTTGAGAAAAACCTCAGCAAAGTAGGAATACAAGGAAGCATCTACCTGATGTAGCTGTGGTTTAAAGTTAAGGGCCTCTTGGTGGGGAGCCATCCTTGTATTCCTAGTGGGCCCCATCTAATCAGAGTGCTTAAAGGCAGAAGAGGAAACCAAAAGGGTGGGTCAGAGAGATGTAGTATGAGGGGTCATTCAGAGCCAGCATTGGCTTTGATGATGGAGGGAGGGACCTATGAGTCAAAGAATGAGGTGGCCTCTGTAAGCTGGGAATTTCCCTCGCTTACAGCCAGCAAGAAAATGGAGACTTGGGTTTTACAGCCAGGAGCAGCTGAATCTGCCAACAACCCAAACGGAGGGAAGTGGATTCTGCCCTAGAGCCTCCAGCAGCTTGCTGATACCCGATTTCAGTCCCTTGAAGCCTGTACTGAAACTATAGAACTGTATGATAGTTCTTACCGTATTTGCTGTGTGTAACGTGCACCCACACCTTATGCTAATTCCCATGGATAATGCACATCCTTATTTTTCCCTCAAAAATTTGGGCGTGAAAGTGTGCATTATACATGGCAAAATACCGTATGTTTTCTTAAACTACTAAGTTTGTGGTGATTTGCAAATGGCAACAGTATAAAAACTAATGAAACATATCCAACTTGTCAAAGCAGGTAACTTTAACTTATTAAAAATTTAAATATAAAATTGTAGCTGGTTCATTCCATTTAATATTTGTTAAGTACTTACTATTATATCTTAAGTTCTACTAGGTAGTTACCCATAAATAGCAGTTTTAATGTGTTTAATGCATATATTTTATATGTGTATGCTCAAGTACAGAATGTTATTCTTATGTGTACATATGTTTTTAGTGTACATAAATAAATAGAATCGTGTTACAGTTTCTCCACTCAGAACTGCTGAGAGTCACCTCTGGGTGGACGGCTAGTACGTCGCTGTGGAAACCCTGCGCCGTGTGCATCCTCCGTATTTCACGTCAGCGGCTTCTCGGGAGCGGGCACCTGCACTGCTGCTGCCTTGCAACACCACCGATAGTGACCGTCTTTATGTCATTTATCTGTTACTGCATAAGAAAGTCCCCTAAAACTTGGTTGTATAAAACAGTGTCGTTTCAGTTTCATAAAATCAGGAATCTGGGTACAGCATCGCTTGGTGTGTCTGGCCCAAATGTCTCATAACGTCGTGGCTGAGCTTATTGCTGGGGCCTCAGCTAAAGAGGACCTGCTTCCTAGATTTCTCACTGGGCTGTTGGTGGGATCCAGTTCCTCGAGGACTGTTGGCCTGAGGGCCTCAGTTCCTCACTGGCCGTTGCCTGGAGGCCTTTGCCGGGTGGACATTTCCATAGGTCAGCTCACAGCAAGGCACCTGGCTTCCCCCAGGTAAAGCAAATGGAAGAGAGAGGGCATGCCCAACACAAGCCGCCTTCTCTTTGTAAGCTGATCTCAGAATTGGCATCTTACCACTTCCGCTGTATTCTCTTTGTTAGGAGCGTGTCACTGGATTCAGCCTACACTCAAGGGGAGGAAGCTACACAAGGCCATGAATATTAGGAAGCAGGGGTTGTTGGGGTCACTTAGAGGGTGTCTTCCACAGTCCTCAGACATACTTCTGGGCATTTTTCTTTGGCGTATATACATATACCGGGTCATTGGTTGTTCTCTAAAGTGACTTCACTGATTAGTTTTCCCATCAGCCCTATGGAAGGGTTTGTATATCATCATATGCTTGCCACCGCTTTGCATTTTCCAGGGCGTAAAGGGACAGCATATTGTTTTAACTGACCAATTTATATCTTTCGCTCTTTTATTCTAGTGGAGTTCTTGCCTTTTTTTCTTGCTATTTGTAGGGATTGCTTGTAATATTCTAGATACTGGTTTCTTGTTCTTCCTTCCACTCTGTCATCTTCCTGTTAACTTTGTCCAAAGTTTTATTTGTTGAACATTAGTCTTTAATTTTGATGTAATTAAATGCTGCCTTAGTTTTTGGCTTTGTGGTTTGTGCTCTTCAGCTTTTATTTCAGAAGTCCTTGATTGTGCTTATGTTACAAACGTATCATTATACATTTTCTTCTATTAACTTTAGTTTTGCCATTTACATCCCAGTCTTTAATTCATCTGTAGTAGTGTAGGTATTTGGTATGTTGTAGGATAGGGATGAATCATTATTTTTCTTTATGAAATGAGCCAGTTTTTCCTAGCACCGTCTTCTATACAATTTTTTTTCTGCATTGATTTGTGGGTCTGTTTTATTGATTATGCTATTACAGTCATTCCATTTTTTTTCTTCCCTTTATTCCCCTCAACCCTGCAACCCCCTCCCACCAGCATTCCCCCACCTTAGTTCATGTTCATTGGTCATGCATATATAAGTTCTTTGGCTTTTGCATTTCCTATGCTATTCTTAACCTCCCCTGTCTATTTTGTGCTTACCAATCATGTTTCTCATTCCCTGTACCTTTTGCCCCATTCTCCCTCCTCCCCCTCCCTGCTAATAACCTTCTATGTGATCTCCATTTCTGTGATTCTGTACCTGTTCTAGTTGTTTACTTAGTTTGTTTTTGTTTTTTGTTTTTTTAGGTTCAGTTGTTGATAGCTGTGAGTTTGTTATCATTTTACTGTTCATATTTTTTATCTTTTTTTCTTAGATAAATCCCTTTAACATTTCATATAAGAAGGGCTTGGTGATAATGAACTCCTTTAACTTGACCTCATCTGGGAAGCACTTTACTTAGTGCCGGGTAGATAAGGTAGTGCTGGGAAGATATACTTAACTATTAGTTTGTTGTTTCATAAAAATTAAAGTCAGCCTGTGAAGTTCCTGGAAAAAAATCTGTTGAGAATTTTGGTTGGTATTGCATTAACTTTAAGATTAATTTGCATAGAATTTAGATCATCCATTTAGAATTTAGATCATTCCAGTTAGATTATTCTCTGTTGCCTTTATCAGATTAAGTAGCCTCTTGTGTTTTGTGTATTTTGTACTGAAAAGATATTTCTGTCAGCAACAACTCCATTAAATATGTGGTAGAATTTAAGCTTCCCAGTTCTAGAATCAAGTTATCTTTAATTTGTTTAATGAGCCTCATTTAAGTAGGTAGTAAGTATTTTTCTTCGGGCTTTCCATGAATATTTCAGTTCTGTAAAAATATTTTGATATTCTTTTGGAGTTCTTACTCTTTTTGCTGTTGTCGAGATTCCCATTTTCCTGGTCTAAAATGTTATTGGTTGCCATAATAACGATACTTAAATTTTTGCAATAACTGAAGGTTTCTGGATGCATTTATTCCTCTTTTTAGCTCCCTTCTCAGCTAAAATTTTGTTTCCTTTTTTTTTTTTAAAGATTTGTTTCTAAAAGGGATAATGATCTCGGGAGGAGAAAAAATAGTCCTTTATAAATGAAATATGCATGATAAACAGGAATAAGGTATTTACTGTTCACACTTTGCTGAACATGCACACTTGGCCTTGAGACTGTGGACACTAGGGGCGGAAGAGGTACATTACGCCACTGTTCTCATTGTGAAGTGACTGCCAGCTTGCGAAGGTGTTGTTGCCTTTCCCACACCGTGATTTCTCTCCAGCTTTACAATCCGAGCGTTTGTTTCCGCATTACAACTGAACGGGGATGAACCTAAGGCCTCTAGAGTGGCTCTAAAGTGCGGTCCTGGCAGTCATCGTCCCCACTGTGCTCTGATAGACCTGTCACTCAGTGGGAGACGGGACGGGAAAACAGAGAAGTTATGGGTACCTGACGCGGGTACGTGAGCCAGTGACTGGGAAAGGGTCTCATGTTCGTTCTTAACCTAATTTTTATGTTAAACATATTAGTATTTTATATAACCTAGGAACATGTTGAATATTTAGGTTTGAGTTCTTAACGTGTAGTTTATTCAGTAAAGAGCCGTGTCCTCATGTTCCAGACTGATCATTATTCTGTGTGGTTTCCTGTTTCTCCAGAGACATCACATATGAAATATCAGTAGAAGCCATATCGACAATGGTTGCTTTCCTTTCCTGCCAACTCTTCCACAAGGAGGTTTTGCGACAGAGCATCAGTCACAAGTATTTGATGCAAGGTCGATGGTATGTTTCTCTTAGATTTGTCTGCGTTTTTAACTGAACAGTCCTAGGGATGTAAAGGACAGCACGGGGAATGTAGTCAGTGGTGTTGTAATAACGATGCATGGTGCCAGGTGGGTACTGGAGATACTGGGGGGGTGGGGGCACTGTAAATTATATGATTGACTAAGCACTGTGCCTGAAACCAATATAAAATAAAATTGAGTGTTAACTGTAACTGAAAAACTTAAAAGTAAATAACAAAAAAATAGATTTGTCTAGTTTTTAATTACATAAATCTGTATTTTTGGTCTTGTACTCTTACCACAGTATTATTCCTCCGATTGTTCTGTCAGCACTTCAGACCCAGTACACAAGGAACTGAATTTTTGTTCAAACTGCCCATCCTTCCTGTTTCCTTTATCCCCCAGCTTCGTTACCTTCTATAGTGTTTTCTTTGTAGAGCTGAAAAGTGCAAGTCATCTTTCTTCTTGCTTCTCTGTCATCCCGTCTGAGCCGTCACCCAGTTGTATTTGTTCATTGAAATTAGTTTTGGTTCTTCCCTTCTCCCCAGTCCCGTCTGACCCGCTGTAACCTGTGCCCCACTGCCACGTGTGCAGACTGCTGCAGCGGCCTCTGACTGGCTGTTTCTCCTTTCATTCAGTCACAGACTTTCACTGAGTGCTCACCATGTGCCAGACATGTTAGCATGTGGGGCTGTACTCTGAGCAGAAGCTTACAGTCTTCTAGTGGGTGGGGATGGGAGCGGATGAATACTAGACACACACACCTCTGCCTTCTGTCGACACAGTCTTTGCAGAGTTTTGTAACGTAAAGGAATGACAAATAAAGTAGCTTTCACTCAAGTTCTCAGGGCGTTGGGAGCTTTGATTCCTCACATCCTTCTCACTACCTTGGGTATCTTCATGGCACCTGCACTGGTAAGAGGGAAAGGGGCCTGAGCTTTTGGCTCAAGAGTCTATTGAGAAGTTTCGTGTAGATTGCAGAAATTGATCTGTCGCCAACTTGTGGACATGTATTCCTTTCCACCTATTTTTTCTCCCTTCTCCTTATCCCATGACTTAAAAACAGAGTATTAATATTTTTAAAAATCTATATACATATAGATATATTTTTGCATACATGCATAAATTGAATAGTTTCATACTTAAAAAGTATAGTCTTTTTGTACTATTGCTTTCTAATTCTTGCTTTCCCCTACTGATTCTATATTACTACCTCCCTTCAAGTGCCAGATACACTATTGTGCACTGAATTTATAATTTTTACCTGTTATACAGATTACGAATAAATTAAGTTTAAGAGCTGAAGTGAGTTGACCAGTGACTAATGGCATAGTAAGGAGGGAAGACAGAATGAAGCCTCAAGCCTGACCTCAAACCCCACGGTCTTCACTGTCATATGACAGGCTAGACTTTAAATTGTGATAGTCCTTTTGTTTTAATAGGTTATGTAGATTGTATTTATCGTTGCATAAAACCAGGTGGCTCTCATAAGTATGAGTTTGATTTTCTTCTCTTTTCTTCCTGCGTAGTCTTCCATACACCAGCAAACTTGTGAAAACCTTGTTGTATAACTTTATCAGACAAGAAAAGCCGCCGCCTCCAGGAGCACACGTCTTCTCCCAGCATTCGGAGGGGGGCGGACTGCTGTATGGACTTGCGTCAGGAGTAGCAAGTAAGCCCTATCGGATTTGCCTCAGCTCTTCAGTGCGCAGAAATCTGTGTTTAATTCGCCATAAGTAACTTCGCTCCCTTGGCTACCTCTCCTGACAGTCTCATATTGGATTTGTGCAGCTGTGTAAATGTGCATACTGGAAATAATTTAAAACATTAATTTTTACATTCAGTGCAGTGATTTATGCATTGAAATGTGTGCGAATAATGAATAGGTTGAAGGTACTGTTTTTCAAGAAAAATGATTGTAAATAAATATGCATATTAACATAAGTTCTAGCTGTACAATATAAAAACAATTAAGTTCTTGGAAACGTACCTGCTTGTGTTTTGTAAGGTAGTTCTGTTTTAGGGACGTCATTGGTTAGGATTTTACATGACTAGTTGGGTATAGTTTTCTTGTTATACTCAGTGTTTCATTGGTTAATGACTAATTTGTATATCTTGAAGAGTTTTGTTATAAAATCGAAAGTGACACAGATGTGCATTTTCTCAGATTAGAAGCAAATTTTGTTAACTGAAGAAAGTCCTTTCCCACCATATAGTACAGCCTTGTTTCCGCTCACGGCGATCTGACCTGCAGACTCCAGAGGTACACAGGAACCTCTGGTTCTCCCTTTGTGGGTGCGGAGGACCGTGTCATGAGAGGTTATGCAAACTGAACTTTCAGTTTATTCTGAAGGAGAAACAAAAAGTAGACTGACACTTTGGTAGTTGTAAGGTCTGCACGGTGCCCTTAGCAGATGCTGTACCTAATTACACAGTGCAGAGTTCAGCTGTTTGAAGGAATGTTTTTTAATCCTCACCCAAGGAAGCGGGGTGGGGAGGGGGAGAGAGAAACAGAAACATTGATGTGTGAGGGAAACATTGATTGGTTGCCTCCTGTACACGCCCTGACCAGAGATTGAACCTGTAACCTAGGCATGTGCCCTGACTGGGAGTTGAACCTGCAGCCTTTTTGGTGTATGGGATGATGTTCCAACAACTGAGCCATGTGGCCAGGGCTGTTTGGAGGCATTTTAAATGGAACTGAGAAGACTTCCAGTCGAGATGATGGCATAGATAAGTGCTGTACCCCAAGCCTCCCAGAACCACAACAGAATTACAACTAAACTACAGAACAACCGTCATTCAGAACCACTTGAAATCTAGGTGAATGGAAGTTCTACAAATAGGGATTTAAAGAAGAAGCCACATCGAGAGCGGTCAAAGGGGCGGAGACACGGAATGGGCTGGTCCCACACCTGTGTGTGTTGGGAGGGGATCTCAGCTGTGGAGGTCTTTTCTGAGGAGTGAAGGGTCCCAGCCCCACACCAGGTTTCCCAGCCCAGGGTTCTGGTGCTGGGAAAAGAAATCCCTACAACTCCTGGCTGTAAAAACCAGCAAGGACTATAGCGGAATAAGACGGGACTTCTGGAGTCACAGGCAGTTCCTCTTAAAGGGCCAGTGCACGGACTTCTCACACTCCCTCAGAGCTCCAGCGCTGAGACAGCAGCTCGAAGGGGTCAGGGGCATACAGAGAACTGAATTATCTGAGAGCAAGGGGGGCAACTTTATGTCAGATGCAACTGCTGGCAGAGGCCATTATTCCTTTTCTGAGACCCCCTGAAATGGAACTGACTGGTGGGTGCCAAGTCTTCTGGCTCGCACTGTTCACCTTCCTTGGTGATTTGCTGAGAGCCTGCCCCACCTGGCTTGCCAGCTCACCAAGCCGTTACCTGTGGCTTTTCCAGACAGACTGCCTGTAGAGACTTTTCTAAAATCCCTCAAAGGCTCACAAATTGCAAACAAGCAGCATCTGGTCATAGTGTACCTGTAACTCTTGCTAAGTGGTCTCAGGTCTGGCACTAGTGGCAGCTGGCCTTGATTGGCAACTTAGCCTCTCCTGGGCACCTCCAAGCCCAGCACAAGTAGCAGCCATCTGCAGATTACTCTGGCTTGTTCTGGGTGGCCCCAGGTAGGCCACAGGCAGTGACTGAGCTTGCACCTGCCAGGAGGTCCAGAGCCAGTGCACTCAGTGGATAGCTTTGGACCTTGCTGAGTTACAGTGCTGCCACCTCCACGAGTGCCACACCCAAGGTGCAGGCTTGGTGAGCACCAAAGCCCCGCTGAAGCCAGTCCCAATCCGTAGAGTCGACTCCTACACAGCAGCTCCTCCACTGTAGTCACAGTTGGTCCTCACAGCCGAAACGCCTGGTAGTCAGTCCCTCCTGGTGACGCCAGCAGCAGTCAAAGTGCACATAGCCCACACAAAGACACCCCTGGAGCACCCAGCTCGGGTACCTGGGGGCTGTGCCACTGGGCCCTACAAGACACCTACTACATTAGGCCACTCTACCAAGTCTGGGAGATGTAGCAGCTCTACCTAACACATAAAAGCAAACTTAGGGGAGCAGCCAAAATGCAGAGACAAAGAAACAGGTCCCAAGTGAAAGAACAGGAGAAATCTTCATAAAAAGAACTAAATGGAGGCAAGCAAACCTCCAGATACAAAGTTCAGAACAGTGATTTTAAAAAGTGCTCAAGGGAACTTAGAAATTCAACAGCATGAAGAAGGACATAGAAACCATAAAAAAGAACTAGTGAGAAAGGGAGGATACACCAGTTAACTTAACTGAGATAAAGACCAGTTTATGGGGAATTAACAGTAGAGTAGATGAAAGCTGAAAATCAAACCATCAATTTGGAATATAAGAAGCAAAAAACACCAAATCAGAAAAGAAAAAGGAATCCGAAAAGTTGAAGGTAGAGTGAGGAGCCTCTGGGACAACTTCAGGTGTACCGACATTCACGTCATGGGTGTGCCAGAAGGAGGAGAGAGAGAGCAAGAAATTGAAAACCTACTTGAAAAAATAATGACAGAAAACTTCCCTGACCTGGTGAAGGAAATAGACATACAAGTTCAGGAAGCACAGAGTGCCAAACAAGATGAACCCAAAGAGACCCACACCAAGATACATCATAATGGAAATGGCAAAGGTTAAAGGCAAAGATAGAATCTTCAAAACAGCAAGAGAAAGGCAGTTAGTTACCAGTAAGGGAGCTCCCATAAGACTGTCAGCTGATTTCTCAACATTAACTTTGTAGGCTAGATGGGAGTGGCAAGAGATACTCAAAGTGATGAAAAGCAAGGACCTACAACCAAAATTACTCGACTCGGCAAAGTTGTCATTTAAAATTGAAGGACAGATAAAGAGTTTCACAAACAAGAAAAAGCTAAAGGAGTTCACCACCACCAAACCAGTATTATATGAAATGTTAAAGGATCTTATTTAGAAGAAGAAAAAATATGAAATTATGAACAGTAAACTGACCATAAGTACATGTCTATCAACAGTTGAGTCTAAAATCCAGAATAAACCAACAAACAGACCCGAAACAGGCTCAGCTACAGAGAACATTTTGATAGTTGCCAGATGGCAGAGGGAGTTGGGAGGATGGGTGTAAAAGATGAAGGGATTGAAAGTACACATTTGTTGTTACAGAGTAGTTGTGGGGATGTAAAGTACAGCATAGGGAACACAGTCATTAATATTCTTTTCTGTTTTTTAATTTTAATTGTTCAAATACAGTTTTCTGTCTTTTACTCCCAGCCCAGCCCACCCACCCAGCCCTCCCCACCTTCCTCCCATTTCTACCCCTCCTAGTTTTTGTCCATGTGTCTTTTATAGTTGTTTCTGTAAACCTTTCCCCTTTTCCCCTGAAATTCCCTTCCCTCTCCCCAGTCATTAATATTCTAATAACTGTATGGTGGAGGATGGGTACAAGATTTATTGAGATGACCACTTAGTAAGTTGTATAATGTCTAATCACTGGGGTATATGCCTGAAACTAATACAATATTATATTTAAACTATAATTGAAAAATAAAAAATGATTCAGTGGAAAAAATACTAAGAATAAAAATCGAACTTTGAAAGAATAAATGGAGCTGAATTCCATAGCCGAATTATGGCTGTAGTATCCTCTCCACACTCAGGGAGGTCAGTTTGATGTGAAAGTGTACTGTGCAGTAACTTAATTAGATCATGAATCATGGGAATGATCTTGGATTAAAAGACCTCTCTGTTGACTTTAGAAATTGACCTGTGAACCAGGCTGTCTAGATTTGCCTTCCTTTGATTTCTTTTAATTATGAGTTGAATTACGTTTGTGATCACTCATGGCTTTGTCTTTGGTGCTGAGCAGGCCGCCGGGAATGGTGCAGGCCTTTGCTCTCTGACTTACTCCTGCCCACTGCCCTCGTAGTTTCACAGGAGGGGGCCAAGCACAGCTTGTTCGTTCGTGGCCATGCAGGCAGCACAGGAACGGCTTCTTGGACCCCGCGAGAAGGCTTCCTGAATCCATTAGTGTTTGCTTCTTTTAGTAACTAAACTGGTATAGGTATTTAAAAGTTGAGTATTTTGCAAAACTCCAATATGGGAGATTTTTGGGAGGAGATAGTGTAAGGTCAGTAATTGCTTTCTTAAAACAATGACCGTTTCTTTTAAGTAAACATAGACTGAGTGTGTTTTTAGTTTTTCTTGACGGTGTGTGTCATCAGAATGAAGTCCAGGGTGGCATAGTGTGTCATTAGTGCCAGGTGCCAGAAAACTTATAAATTTTAGATCTGCTCTCACCTAGTTAGCAGTGTATTGGAAGGAAGTCGCTCACTTGTCCTCCTTCCCAGCTTCCTTCTCTTTGGAATGAGTAGGTGGGGATAGGTGGTCTCTGAGATTATTTTGGTAGAACTTTCATTGATTCCGTGGTCTTCTCCCCCACCACCTTCTTCATGAAAGTTTAATATATAATTAAGGGCACTGAAAGATTTAGGACTTTTAGTGTTTATAGTCAAAGCACATTTTATAAAACTTTTCTCCTGAATTTTTACAAAACTATATATGCAAATATAAATCATGATGGAGTAATTATTCCTTATTTCCCAGTATGTGACTCAGAGGATCGTGAAAACAGTAAAAGGACATTCTCCTAAAAAGCAAAGCTGTGTGTACTGTGGGCAAG